CTGGAATCAATGGCTCAGGGAGAGCAGCTCGAGCTCTGACCGTGCCCGGGGCAGCACCGTGGGCATCAGCGGGGCCTGAACAGCAGCTTTGAAGAACTTGGGGGGTTAAAGGGAGAGGCCRGAACAGGACCCCCATGGCTCTGGGAAGTTTTTAATGCAGGTGGAGGTGGGATGGAAATGTTTCAGAGAGCAAAGCTGCCAGTGGCATCTCGGCAAGGATGGGCTCTCTCTGCCCACAGGGAGCACCTGCAGATCCACACGGGACGGGCACCACACACAAACCACGAGAGCTCTGGACGGACCCAGTGCTGGGCCAACTGCTGAACTTCCTTCCAAGGACAGGGAAGGGGAAGCTTCTGGGGTCTGTGCATTACTTCAGATTAAATGAGAAGGGCTTGCTCTCCTCTTCTATAATTMAAATCCAAGCAGAGCTTTGGCAGCTGCAGGGCAGCTCTCAGGGAGCAGAGCCTTGGGCACGTCCTTGGCCTCAGGCGGTGGCACAGGTGGCTCCAGGGGCTGAATGGGTGTTTGTGGGTGTTCATCCCAGACCAAAATCAAAAGCCTTTAGTCTTAGCAGAGTCATTTTTGAGAACAAGAAGTGCCAAACCCGTGTTGCAGCTCTGCCCTGCTGGATAACGGGGGCAGGATGAACAGCCTTGACCAGCAGCAGCAGATGGAAAACAGATCAAACTGATTTTTGGATTTTTCAGGAAACAAGGTTTTGATTTGAAGTCCCAGAAAAACAGGAGATCACCTTGGGAGGGACACCCTTTACTCGCTTGTAATGTACATGAACTATAGAACTTGTTTCTTGTATAATTCACTGAAATTAAAATTGCAAAATAAAGGACATATCAGTCGTTGCTGAGAACAAACTCACTGCTTCCTGCTGGAGACAATGTGAGCAACAGGGCAATGCTTTCCAGGGCTGGAGCAGTAACTCATCTTGTTATATTTGCTCCTAATTCTAGAAATACACCTAAATGCAYCTAACAGGACTCTGCCACAAGAAGTTAATGAGGAACAAACATTAATTATTCATGCCTTGAAACAGTAGGCCTCCTAATGTTTTTGCTAATCAACAAGTCAAACAGCTGTATCTTTGTCAGGGCAATCTTAGGGGGACAGCAGAACAGCACTGAGACGTGGCATCATCTCCAAAGTCTGTCCCTTTGTGTAACTCAGTGAAGGGAGTTTGTTCCCAGCCCAGCAAAGGTGTGGCAGTGTGGGAGCAGGAGCAGCTTTGGCCCTGCACCTCTGCACCCCCTTACCCTGCCCCTTTATCCGGGGACAATGAGGGTGGCTTGGGCCAGGGGGCCCCAGGAAACGCTGAGAGAGGGAAGGGGCAGTCTGCTCCCAGTGCCAGGGAGAGCTCAGACTGTGTAAAGTCAGAATTAACTCCCTTTGGGTAACAGACACCAGCAGCTGGCAGTGAGCTGCTCCAGGAGTCCCCCTCACTCCTCTGAACCCACAGGTAACCCAAAGTCACATGAAACAGCAAAAAGAGCTAATGGAAGTGTTGTCTAACAGAGCTTTCGCCACCAGAGAGCACACAGAGGTATGTTATGTTGAGTTGACTCCAAGTAATTTTCACATGAATTACTAAAGAAATGTATAATGTATCAGTGTTTAAATAAATCACAGGCAGGAGTGCTKTGAGGTTAGCGGTGCAGGATAGGCTATAATTAACTCACACGTCACAGAGCGTGGGGCTGCTCCAGCTCTGCCTCCACACCACTGAGGCTCAGCAGGACCAGCTCAAAAGGGATTTATCTCCTAAAAATGGGATGGGAGACAGCAGAGCAGTCAAAGCTGTGAGCTGGGGTGATGCTGGTGCCCCCCAGCCCTGGAATCCTCCTCACCCCGGCAGTGCAGGGCTTTCCCAGGCTCAGGACAATTCCCTGGAGCAGTCCCGGTGAGAGCCCCGAGAGCTGAGCCCAGCTCGGGGGACATCCCCGATGGACACTGCTGTCACCAGCACCCCCAGCTGGCACAGGGTCACTGCTGTGCTGCTGGAGCACCCTATGGCACTGACAGGGGCCACTCCTTCTGCTCCTGCTGGCCACTTCCCCCTCTGCTTTGGCCACTGTCCCCATCCCCAGCTGGGGACATCGAGTGGTGACAGCTCCTGTGACAGACACTGGGCTGGAATCTTTAACCGGGTAAAACTATTTTTGAACTTCAAATCAAGAGCTSTTTCTGATGAAAAATGTAATTGTCAGATGCCGTGAAAACGTAGTGAAAAGCTTTGGGTTTTATTGTGGGAAAAACGGGGACATTCCAGGTTAAGGAGGCATGTGGGACATTGCACTGTCAGCCCTGCTGAGTTCTCCCGGTCTGGGTCTGTGCACCCAACATCCCACCAGGGTCAACCTGCCCGAGAATTACCAAACAGCCACTGGAAACTGTCTGTGCAATGATCCTGGTAAGAGACAGACAGAAAGTGCTCTAGTTTATACATTCAGGTTTTGATCATCACAGTTGTAAATCTGTTGTGGAATAAARCAGTGGAAGCACATAAAAACCTCCAGAGAAACATCAGAAAAACTTATTTTTCCSTTTTCAACGCCCCTTGTGTCAGTGATCTTGTCAGTAAGGGCCCAGACACATTACACAACCTGCTCCACAAGACAGAACTGGGTCCCACGTTTCCAGAGATGAGTTAAAATTAGATTGCCACCTTTGGGAATCCTCTGCACAAGTTAGTGCTGTATTCCATACAGCYGTGACTGGAGACAGCAGATTCTTGGCCTGGCAATTCCACCATTGGCTTACCTGCTGTGACTGTTCCCTTGGATCAGCTGCTGTTGCTCCCTGCAAGCAGGTCCTGGCAGGATTGTGCCCCAGGGCTGTCCCACCCTGCTGAACGTGCTCAGGGAAGGCTCAGATCATATTGGGAATGGCTGGGGGGAAAAAACACATCCAAAGCCACATAAACACACACAAATGCTACTCCCTTTCCAATTGTTTGTATTCCCTTTTTCCATTAAAATGGATTTTAATCATATAGGAAGGAGCAAGTGCTTTGAACTGGACTTTTTTGCTCCATGTCAGGATCTGTCTCCTAAAGGATATTTCCACAGAACGAGGCTGGTTGGTGGCTCTGGACAGGGAAAGGGCCTGGGCAAGATTCCAAAGTTGAACTCTTGGCACTGAGAAGATGTCTCAAAGCCACAGGTTTGTCATGGAGAGACTCRGCAGCAGCACAGAAGAACCAGATCGGATTTTTTGTCATCCTTTAGCCCCTGGACACAGCAGCTGCAGGGAGGGGCTGCAGGAGGAGTAACAGGAACTGTGAAAGTGGCAAAGACCGAGAGTAAAGGCAGCAATAGAATAAATTAATCTTCATCCCAATCTGCAAAGGAGTCAGAACAGGCAAGAGTGTCCTGCTGGGATCTGTATCCAATGGTCCAGGGGCTGCAAACCTGAGAGAGCAGGAACCACCCCGGAATGTACAGCTTCATTCAGTTTGAACTTTGAACCCCTCACCAAACACCCAACAGCCTTTCCTGAACTCCCCCTGCCCCACGTCCTCCCCTGTCCATTCACCCAGCTCAGCTGATTCTGCTCCCATTGCAAGATTTATGTCTCAGCTCTGACATAAACCAAACCTGCACACACATATACACACAGAAACTCCCCTTCACATACCCACTTCCCCCCAAARAAGTGATAATGCTCTTTTTCTGACAGTTGTGGTTTTTTGAATGGTTCTCCTTCTAATTTATTTYAGTCAGAATTTTGTCTTTTCTAAATCTTGAACCATTCCATAGTATAACTTTATTGCAAAAAAGTCAACATGCATCTTAGAAATTTGGCTTGTAATCAATAAAACAAACATTACATATAGGAATTTTAATGTATAAACAATTAGAAATTCAACAATATCTCCTATTATCCTATTACACAAGTTCACAATCTGTAAAAACTATAGTACAATGTTACTATACACCAAGAGGAGCTTTGTTCCTTTTCACATGATTTTATTAAAGTGGTGTTCATAAGCAGGTGCCTTGGTTTCAGATTTGAGGTGGTCTTGTTTATTTTGCTCAGGCTAATTCTGCAAGGAAAGGGAGGGAATTCTTCCCACAGTGACCTYCTTCCCCCACACCATCCCCCTGCAGTGTCTGTCCCCCACTCAGGCTGCAGCACACAGGTACCCTGCAGGYTGTGTTTTGCCCAAGGTACACGTAAAATCCCCAGTAAAAGCATCACCATGAAATAAACTCAGATGTACTGCCCTGCTGCCTGTGGAAACACAGATATCAACCCAAACYACCCCAGAGTGCCCAGCATGCCCTAAAACACAAGGGGTCCATMAGCTTTGGCCAAAAGCAGCTCAGGCTCATCAGCTGCCCCCTCCTCCATCCCCAGGGCCAGACACGGCCCCACTGCCCCCAGTACAGCCAAACTGGGGGCACACCCAGCCCAGGGCAGCAGGCACCCTTGGGATGACAGCAGGGACCTAAGACAGCCTGCCAGGGGCACTCTGAAGGCAAAAAGGAATTGTAGAAAACTCTCAAAGGCAGCCCTTGCTCCCTGCACGTGCCCGTGGACAGAGGTGCCACCCCAGTGTCACTTTAGAGCTAAAACCATATGAAAAGGAATCCATTCTGTGTGTGTCGAAGGCTACTGCAATTTTTCTTACAGCTTAATTAATCCACTGTAATTTTCATTTTCCAAATACAAAAATACAACAATTCTTATTGAAATCTATACGCCGGTAGTTTTAGTACACAAAAAAAGCAAAATATTTACAAAATAATACAGTTTAAGAAAAAACTCTGTACAAAAAAATATATAAATCCTTTTGATCCCTCTCTCAGTTTTTGTCAGGACTYGGACATGTTTGCTGCAATGGATTTTTCAAGATACACACTGTGCCAGAGACATTCAAACCCTTAGAGATGATGGGAGAAGAGCAAGACATTCCTGTAAGTGTGTGGGGTGGGTTTCCCCTCCATTTCTCCATGCCCCATTAGCCTCAGCATTAGCAGGACAATCCTAATTCTAGCAAGATGGGAGTTTTGGAAAGAAAATACTGGAGGATGTTCCCTTCMTTTGATGGGAACCAGGACATTACAGTGGTTGGATAACCCAGCACAGCACAAGGACAGGGTGAGCAGGGCTGTGATCCCAAAGGCTGCTCAGCAGCTGCCCCTGGCCATGCTCAGATAAAAGGGCAGCTAGAGGGTCAGTAGATATTGTCCTTCACTCAGGAATCACTGGGGCCTACAGTGGCACTCATTCAAGAGAGAAGAGCCTGTGCACAGACACGGTGTTTATTTTGTGTAGAAATGCACACAAAATGGACTGAAGAGGACAGGGGGCAGTCAGGGGAAGCACTGCTGGGTGCCCAGAGCAGGGCCCAGCCCCTGCTCAGCCTGGCCCTGCTCAGCCTGGCCCTGCTCCCTGGGCTGCTCTCAGCCTGGCCCTGCTCAGCCTGGCCCTGCTCCTGGGGTGCTGGCAGCACTCAGCCCGTGCTGGGGTTACAGGTACAGCAATAAGGCAATGGGGAACGGGATGGAGCTCAGCTCAACACCTCGGAAAGAACWGCCCTGGGCCAGGAAGGGCCCCTCTGGAGACCCAGCTCTGAACCCTCAGAACCAAACCCTGCTTTGGGGCCAGACTAAGCAAGAACCAACCCCCTCCCCAGCCATGCTGACGGGGCTCTGACACTGCAGGGCTCTGACTCTGACACTGCAGGGCTCTGACACTGCAGCCCAGCTGGGAACAGAGGGGACAGCTGCTCCTACACAGGGGCCAGGTCAGGTGCTTTGGAGAAAGTCTGCAACTCCTTCCATTCTTGCTCACAAATACTTAAATGCAATAAACAGTCTGACTTACACTGAGCCTTACACTGAAATGACAGAAGGAAATCAAGGAGTGAAAATTCACTCCAGTGTGTGTCCCTGCTGATGTTTTCTGTGAAGCAGAATTTGGAGAAACAGAGAGAGCTGGACAATGTTATAACAATGCCTTGTTAAATTGTTCCTTCCACCTCCTCTCACAAAAAGCAGCACAACATAGAGACTGTGTGGCTGTCAAACACACTGCAGTAAATGATTTAAGAATCTAGCCACGAATAATTCCTACAATAAGAGACTCCACAGGAAATAAAATGCTACCTTTTTTCAACGAGCAAATGAGGCCAGTTTTTCTTTCATAATATTTAATGAAAGTTTATCTTTCCCCTAACTCTGTAATATTGCTAAATAAAACCTGTAATATCTTTCCAATTATAAACTAACAAACCAATCACATYATAAAAAACCCAAAACAAGGTAATACAGGTGACACAAAGAGAGGACAAGAAAATACTAATTTCCACGCTCCCCCCCTCCCTCCCCTTTTTTATCCTTCTTAAATAGAAAAAAAATCACCATCCTGGTGAACTTGATAATCCTGTAAGAAGTTCCTGGGCCTTTGGCTAGCTCAGTCTCACAGCTCTGTGCCCCAAATGTTTYCATACCAACTGCTCATGGTAAATCTTGCAGTTTGAAAAGAAAGTAAAGCTTTTTTGGCTCATCAACTTCCTTAAATAAACGTTTAAAAGATGTAGTTTGAACTATATTCCTAAAATTACACATTTCCAACATCAAATTTCATCTTCTCCAAGAACGGGATTCATCCTCATCTTCATCATCATCGTCATCATCTTCGTGCAAAAATAAATCTGAGGTTTCTGTCTCCTGGAGGAAGAAAAAATGGATTTTTAGACACAAGTTTCAAGCTGTGCCCTGGGACAACACATCAGGCACACAGCATCAGCTGCAGTGGTATCTGGTTCTGCTGTTAYTGCCTGTCTCACAAACACACACAATTGCATCCCATCAGTTCCAGGGGAAGAACAGCAGCTTCACATCAGCAAAGAGAGCAAAGCTTCAGGGGAAGCAGGAATAAGCCACCACCCACCCTCACCCGAACAAGGTTTCTGTTAAGTGCCACAACAAAATAATCTTTAAAAGCTTAAGGTGTTAGAGTGAATTACAGGGAGAGACAAACTTAACTTCTCCTACAGTACAGCCCTAAGAATGAGGAGCAAAAGGTTTTGCAGCCCTCCTATAGAGAACCTGTGGCTTGTTTACATCACTGACAAATCAACAGCCCATTCATAAAGTGTCTTTTTTTCCCCGTTTTCTCTCTTTTAAAATGTGGGAAATGTATCTGATGATTCAAAATCAATTTGGTTCCTCATTTGTAAAAGYACCTTTTATGAAATTCTTTCAGCACACAGAAAACTGCATCCTAAGAACTCTCAGCTATTAGATTCCAGTGAGAATGATCAGGTTATTAATAGATTTTCATACCTCTTCCTTGGACTCCTCTTCCTCGACCTCTGTGGACACAGAAGGTACCTTGGGTTTGTGCCACGAGATCTGGAGCCGTCGGTCCTTGAAGCGGGAGCCCTGGTTAGCAGCCTGAGGGGTGGGTAAATCAACAGATGTTCACAGGGAGGATCAAGTAAAGAACTTTTAACATCAGCAACAAGCCAGAGCCAGTGCAKGTGGTACAGAGGCACATTTGAAGATTTCAAACATATAAACCACAATCACCCATGTCAGTGCTCAGAGAGCAACCTCACCCACACCCAAAAATCCTGCTCCTGCCCTGGCACTGTGAGRGGATGAGCAGAGCTCTGAACTGCCAGGAACATGCAGCTCTAGCAGGGAAGGCCCTGTGTCACTGCTCAGATAACCAKGAGCTACTTCCCCTTCAGTGGCACTATCTGCAGCAGCACCAAACATTAGCAAGCTCAAACTGGGGGATCAAAGCCTCTGAAATTTTAAAATAGAAATGTAGACATAAGTAATTAAAAACTCTTATTTCASATCTGTGAAAAAAATATATCCATGWTTGTACKTACATTCTCAGCTTCTGAGCGGGACTTGAAAGTTACAACAACACTTAATGGGGAGTCCTCTTCTTGAAGGTCTTCAATATCTCCAAATTTCTGTGAGGTAAACGTTTGTTAGGACTGGCAGTAATGTTCTTCTCCACCTCCACAATCATGTGGTACAATTGTAGTGTACTGAAGTGACAATGGAATCTGATTTTTTGGACAGAAGTGAGCCAGAGGACTCCCAGCTGCATCAGTCAGCAATAGTGCAGTACTTGCATTTTTGGGCAAAAGCTCAGATTTCTTGCTATTCTCAGAAGAGCTYAATTTTACAGCAGGAAAGGAAACAYGCATTAATKGMCAGGTTGAACTTACAGAGAAGTGCTGTAACAATTCATCCTTTTCCTCCTCAATGAAGCCTCCCACGGCGAGYGCTTTGGGCCGATGATCCACCACCATGTGGTTCAACATCCCCCGGCCTCGGCCCCCGCGGCCCCGGCCCCGGCCTCGTCCTTGGGCTGCCACGGCCTTTCCTCTGCCCACGGGCAAAATTCCTAACCGAGCAGCCTGGGGAGAGAACACAGCCATCCCCACGGTGAGGGGACCTGSAACACTCAGAACTGCCAAATTCATCAACAGCATCAGCACAAACCAGCTCACCTCCACCTGTAACTGATTGAGCTTYTTCCGCAGCTCAGTCGTGTCCTCTCCAGAGGACAGTCTCTTATGGAAGTCCAGCTCTGCATCCAACAGTTCCTTCTGTGCCTGGGAAAAAAAAAAGAGGTGGGAAAACAGGAGGAAAGGGTAGAACTGCAAGGCATGCTTTTAACGTGTTAGTCCACTACTGCAGTACATTCATGTAAATGATATAGACAGATCAGGCCATAATAGCTATACTTTTCTCTAAATTCAGTTTATTTTAATTGTCTCTGCGTGTGTTCGGTCACCCCCATTTTTTAAAAGRACCCAGAATTCTCTGCTTTAGAACTAGAACAAATATGAATGAGCTACAAGCAAAACTAGGTCATGGAGTTCCTTCAACCATGGCTTGTCTGTCCGTGGTTACCACTCACATTGAAATACTGCTTCCAAGTGTTTTGATCTAAAGCTGCTGCATTTTTAAGACATATTATTAGAAATAGTTACAAAAACCAAGCAGGCAAGTRGATTGCACAATAAATACCTCTGTCTTGGACTTCAATTTGGATGGTGTAGAGGTTGTAGATGAAGTTTTTAATTCATCCTTTAACTGAGATATTTTTCCTGTTAGTTCTTTTAAAGTCTTCATAATTTCTGCTCTCTCTTCTGGTTTCATGGCCTTGTTTTTCTCCAGCTTGGATATCAACATCTACACAATAATAAAAGAACAAGAACATAACATGAGAGGAAAGCCAGCCCTCGACAGACAGGTATCTACAAAATCAGAATGTATTTACTAGRCACRTCCCAGACTTACCTTCTGGCATTCTATTTGTTTTTCTAACATCTCCTGTTTCTTTTTCCTCATATCTTGCTGGAGCTTTATTGCCTCCTATGAGGAGAAAATTCTTTCCATCAGCAAAAAGCAGTCTAGCATTATATGTACTTATAGAGATTACATATGTACTCCTCAAGTTATGGAAGTGAATTCCACGACAAAAAGTATTGTTTACAWAAAGCACAAGTATGAAGTGCAGCTGATCCAATAAAAAGCTGCTGATTTCCTGCTGTAAGGTACTTTACTAACGTTTTGCCCCCTTCAGACACCTCTTAAGAAACAGACCCTGCATGTCATTTAAGCATCTCATACCTGCAGAGATTAAACACAGAAAACCAAGCGAACCCAGAAAACATGGCCAAGTGTGTCGAGTAAGACACCCCAAAAGGACACTGCACACATTGTTGTCCCTAATACGTGTTTGCAAGGCCATCCCACAACCATGACCAAATCCACACTCACATATAAAGCTGTACAGCAGTAGCTGAGATTTCAGGCACCCACCAAACCTTGCCTTTAAAGCACTTTGCTTGCTGCACTGTCAGTAACCCATCAATCATTAAGTACCTGTTTTTTTTTAAGGGCTTCTTGCACATCRTGAGGTTTAGACCCTGCACCAGACTTCAGAGTTGTTTTCAAGTTTGGAGAGCTGTAAACCATTTTTGAGTGGCTTGTAGGAGTCGGAAATATCTGAAATAGAAAAAACACACACTAAAACATGGAATAGCTTAAAGTGACCATGATATATCATCAGGGAACTTTAGGGGATTATGATTCCTGAGATGCCAACACAGATGTCCAGATTTATGCGATGAGGAAGAAAGACCAAGAAAATTAAAACAGATGGATAAAGGTCAGTCCAGTTAAAAGGATTTCTRCAAAAGATGCTGTCTTTCCTTCCCAATGGCAGACTCCTTTTGCATCCCAACCCCCAACAGGACAAGCTGAAGGTGATGGCTGCATCTGCCTTCGTTTCAGCTCCACAGCCACAGCCTAACATCCCACTTTCTGGTCAAATAAGGCAGCAAAAGCCACTCCATGCATCCTTCCTTAAAAGGACTTCCTCATGGCCCAGAATATAYGCTGCACTAKGATGTCAGAGTGAATTGAACTGTATCAGCTTRAACTCTGGGTACAASTACTCTCCAAGTTTCCAGCACTGCTGTTAAAGCACAGCATAAGCTCAAAAATCACKGGGAAAGKCATTACATTTGTCAACAAAAGGCTGGTCTCACATACAGGTTGTCAGATTTRTTTACTATGAAGCACTGCCAAAATTATTTTATGCTATTTAAAACACTGATACTTTGTTCCTAAAGTCATTGTCCTATTTCATATACATGGTTGATGAAATGAGGAAGAACTGACTGACCATGGCTGCATGGAACGTTAGTGAGAAGGAACAGTGGGACCAATTCACAAGTTTCTTTTTGCTGCCAAGCCAAAGCTGTACCTGAGAGCATGACCAYGGTGCACCCTCACATACCTGAGAGTCCTCCACGGCAGCCCCAGGCTGGCTCAGCTCAGGCTGGCTCCCCCCCGCTGCTCCAAGGCGCCGTTTCACCGGCACTTTGTTAAGGACGTAGGCCCCAGATGCCAGGGGTTTGTTCATCACCTGTGTACCCACAGATTTGAAAACACCAACATTAGACTCTGGGCTTTGTGCAGCAGCAGTTATTTGTGCACACTGCTGCAGCCCTGCCATGCCATACCTTGGCCAGGCCGCTGTGCCCGGTGCCGGTGGGYGCTGTGCCCAGGCCCTGCTGCTGCAGGTGCTGCAGGCTCTGCGGGCTGGGGGGTGGCTGCTGCTGCAGCACTGGGGGCTGCTGCTCACTCTCCCTGTGCCACAGCACCCGGATAAAGCGATTGCTCAGCACTGCCTCCGTGCTGGAAATGGCCTTCCTTGCCTCGTCGTTACTCAAGTACTGAATGAGAGCAGCTTCCGGATCGTTCTGGAAAGCGACCTAAAGCAAAAGTTCAGAAATGCATTATTTCTCAAGGAAGAAAACACTTCAATGGCTTCCATTCATCTCCAAATAATCTGCAATGATGAGTTGGATATCCAGTGTATTAACAGCTCAAAACACAGGTAGGATATTCTATGTAATTAAAATCAATTCTGGCAACCATTACATGTAATTCAGCAAATATACATTTAAATAAATAAATAAAWAASACTCCTCCACTGGCAGCATCTCATATTCAGAGCACTGTGCAGTGCCACTGGAGTATGTCTGGTATCACTGATGCTGATCCAAAGGTTCTTTATCCCAGCCTCCTGAAGGACAAATGCTGCCAGAGGGTACACAGTGCAAAGCCTCACCACACCTTTGATGCAGCAGCATCTCAAAGATTTGAATAAGAGTATTTTTCTCTAAAAATTAATATCATGGCAATAAAAATGTATCTTTGACTTTCTAGTGYAGTAACTGAGATAGCATGTTTGAAATCAATAATTTCATTAGAGTGGTGCAGACATCTTTTGGGCTAAAAAGTTATCAAAAAATTTGCCMAAATCCTGACCATTGAATACTGTAAGACTATCAAACAAGACAAACTGTCAGATTATATCTTTCAAAAGTTACACGTAAGTTGCTCAAAAACCTGAGTTGGTTTAGACACTGTTAAACCTGCCAGACTTTTAAATATAATTAGGCATCACGAAGGCAGAAGCCAACATGGTTTTACAGAATTAAGAATAATAACACACAGTAGATCAAGAAAAGGTTTCTCTGAACTTGATTACCTCCCCTCCCGATTTGTCTCTGCCAAGATTTGTCAAAGAAAACACGCAGAATTCGATAGCCTTCAGGCAAAATAAAATATCCACACACAGATATAAAACTGGATTTTGTTTTTTACCTGAATGTTTACAATAGTTCCAAATTTGCTGAAGTGTTCGTTGAGCTGTGTAATATTGTTCAGTTCTGGTGGAATTTTTCGAACTTCTAATTTTGTATTAGTATATTGATTCTTTTTCAAAAATCCTGGCTTATTTTGGTTGTTATTTACTTGCCTAGAGTAAAGGAGAACAGAAAAAATTCAGGTAAGTAACTGTGTGTCTAAGTAAGGCAGCAAATATTAACACATCTAAATGGCATCTTTCCCCTACTAAGTACACCCTCTAGGCACAGAGATCCCCCACCACTCCACATTTAGTCTCAGTATTATGTGGACACAGATTTTCTGACCCAACTATCCCAAATCAGAGAGCCTGGTGAGCAGCAGTGTTCCCAGCACTGACAGCAGTCGAGTACACCTGAATTAGCAACTGCAGCTAATTCTTACTTTCCCAGCCAGGGTTTCTTCAACGGGGGACATTCCATGCTGCTTGGAGATCTCTTCCTGCTGTCTGGTTCCAGGACAACTCGAGTGACATTGCTGCTGTTATTTGTAATGGGAATGGGAGGTTCAGTTTGGATGATGATGTTGGCAGCTGGAGGGAAAGAAAAAGGCCTGTTATTCTACCACACATGGAAAAGCTTTCACACAGCAAAACAGAACTGAGGTTAAAAATATAAATGTTAGGAAGAATTTATCAAATTGGTCAGCTTTGTTTCTGAAGTTCCCAGATCATTCCCTATCCTAACTAAATGTCCTGAGAGAGACACACACAGTCCTGCTGAAATGGAGGAAGTTTTGACCTTTAAGATTAGTATAAGCCTGAATAAACATAGGTAAAACTTTATCTTTCAGGTACTGAAAACTCAGATTCTGCAGGAAAAGGAGAGTAAGAAGAAAAAAACACCACAACCCCCCCAACAACAAAAAAACAAAACCAAACAAACAAAAAATAAAACAAAACAAAAACCCCAAAACCCCCCAAAAAACCAACGCCCAAAAGAACCCCAACCCCAAAATCCTAACAACATAAAAGAAGGCAAAGAACAAAGGGTGAGCTCCCAGGCTTTAGGTTAGAGCTCTGCAATGAGCAGGGGTTAAATTAACCCCTTGTGTAAACCCTTGACAGGGCAAAGCAACCCAGAACCTATTCTTTCCACTGCTATCCCACTGCCAGCCCTCCAGCCGGGTTTCAGTAACAAACTGTTAATTAAGCATAACTATAATACTCTTAAAGACATTAGATTTAAAGTTTGAAGTAACTCCTACCAACATAAAGTTTGCTAGAAATTTATTTGCAAYCTTTTCAAGATTATGGCCTTGGTGWTAGTCCCCTGTGTGTGCCAAATATTCAACTCCTAAAAAGAAGTCTGAGTTATGCAGCAATTTCTGTGGCTTTTCTATAAGGCAGAGCTCTGCTGGTTACACTGGTGAGAACAGAGATTGGGCATTTCAGGGTATGGSTTTAATCCCACTCTGAGGATGATTGAGAGTGAACCTTTCCCACTTGGGACAAAGACAGTAAAACAAGAGGTGTGAAGCCCCACAACTGAGCACTCACCCCTGCCTTACCCCTGGGATATGCTCTCAGAGAAACYGAGGGGCAGCAATTAAGCCCCAACCCTGCCTCCTTGACAGTTATTAAGATGCAAACAGCAACAGCAATTTCTGCAATAATATTTAATCATATTCTTTAGGGATGACTCATTGGAAGGACTGAAAAAAAAAAAAACCCCACCAAAAAACCCCACTGACTTTCTTATCTACTGAATAAGAAACTGAAGTAAAACAGTAGAAACCAAAATTTAATATCTTTGCTTTTAAGAATCAGGGTTGAAAAAACAGGAGGGAGAAAGAAAGTTTTGCTACCGCAATTAAACTTTCTTCAAAGAGGCTTGACTTGTTCTCTTCCCTAAAAGATACTTTGTACACATCATTAAGAGACAGCAACCACATCCTTTCAGTAGGGGTTAGGAATTATTGTAAGTGCTGGGTTCCCATGGGCTGGGAAATTGGAATGATAGCTGCAATGTTCATTTCAGATAGAACACCTGGCTGACASAGTCAGACCATCAAGCACCAAAACATGCCATGATAGTTCCCTTCTTCATCACCATCACAACAGCTAAGGCAAGGAGCTTGGATCATCACCTCTGTGCCAGTGGCTAATCAAAAGCAGTCTGCAGACTATGCTGCTAAAGCCATCTTTAGGTGCCATTTTTCTTTCTAGGAGCTCCCAGTACCTGGAAAGTGCCATCACAGGCTAAAGAAGAATAAAACCCCAACCAGCCAACAAAACCCCTGTAGCATTCCCAAGCAAGTGGTTATTTTTAATCAAAAGGGTGGCTTTGACTTTAATATGGTCATATTAGTACTTAAAAAAAGGCAGAAATGTAAAAAAATGCTCTGAAACACTAGATGAGTGAGAAAAGCTAGTGCTTTCAGCCTGAAAAGAGGGAAAAGTGTTGACGGTCTTGGACAAAAATAGCAACAGCAATGAGCAGAACCCTTCCTACCTCGAGGGTTTGTATCCATCTCCCCAGATGTTAGGCCAATTAGATTTGGACGCTGCATTTGTGCTCTTGTAAAGAATTGCCGATACTGAGATCTACCAGCACTGGTAATACTAGGAGCTTCAGGGTTATAGCCATCTGGCTCATATGTATCTACAAAAAAAGGAGAGAAACGACAGAATTTTKCAAGTGAGTTTAAGACTCAGGGTTAATTTTCCTTAAAGGAAATGCAAGGATGTCCAAGAGTCAGAAGTTGTTTCGGATGAAGAGAAGAATGGTGGTACAGCCAACCTGTGCAGCCATTTCAAACCCTCATCTGATCTTCAGGYCTAGCCTATCTGGACACATTCTCCTGTGGTTTTTAATCTGATACTGCTTTTCCGAAGCACACAGGTCACAATAGAGAGTATTGATGATCCACTGCCTGGMAAGGACTGAGGTGTCTGTGTGACAACCTGCACAACATCTGGCAGTGTTTCAAGGCYAACAACACAAAGCTGGGTTTGGGTATTTTTACTGTAGGGTGTAAGATGCAGAGATTTTCAGCTTTTGCTGCCCAACAGTCTAGTTCTCTTCAGAAAAGGATTTTGGGTGAAGAACATACTTAAATGATTTCAATCAAAGAAAGCTGAGAAATGAGGTAATGGAASCAATACTTACCTAGGAATTCTCTTTATGTAAGAGTGAGATCAGCCACCTAGCTTAGGTAAGGTACTAATGATTATTTTCATTAAAAGGGGTCAGCTCAAGAATACAAGATGATAGAATTCASTCCTACTGTTCCTCCAGCCCAAGGTCCAAATCGAGGATGATGCATTTTTTTAACCTTAAAAAGGAAAGGCTGTACAAGAAATAGACTGAATGAAGTCTATGAAGTGCCTCCAYAGAAACAGTACATCCTGGAACAGAATGAATGCCTGTACAAAGGAACTTGACAGTCGTGGACCCCTCTAAAATCTCAGCTCCTTATTCAGCAGCAACGAAGACAACTCTACAGTTTAAAACAGATGCCCCACAATATCCACACTGATAGCAGAGCTTGAAACTGCAAAACAAGAACTTTCTCTAACCTCAAAGGAGCTGAAACACAAGCTCCTCTTCCCTGATTTAGAATATGACTGACTGCAAGCACGTCTTACCACAACAGTCCAAGAACAGGACATGAGAATCTCCACAGAGGTTCTGGAGAACAGAATTACTGTGAAGCCCTGTGAGCTACAACAGGCAGAATCACCCATCAGATGTTCTGGAGCTGAAAGCACCAGATGGTGACACCTGAACAGACAACAGGACTTGGGAATAACTGAACAGATTATCTGAGAAGAAATTTGAGTGACTCAAGTTCTGAAAAGCATGGAAGTCACAAACAGAACATGGATCATGAACTGAGCCTGAACTTCTCTCTGAATAAAATTCAGAATACTTATGTTAAAAAATCCCAGATGAGACTATTATGAAACACTGATATTTAGTTATTTTTGTCATACAGAACATGGAAGTGCCATTMATCCTTTAATTATCAAAGAAATAAGATTGGTTGTATTTTAATTGGGCAATCGAGGATTTCCAGGTATTTTGCTAGTTCCCCTTGTAAAAACATACTTTTTAAAATTTCTGCTAAGGAAGAGGGATATGTCTAGTGATAGACATCTACTTTTAAAAAGCTAAAACTAGGGTGATCCTGGAAAAAGAAYAGAAAAAGTACTGATGTCTATGTAGACTGTACAGACTACAGCAACACCCAACTGGAAATAAAGAGCTCTCATCTGTATTAGCCCTGGAGAGGAATAAAGCCAAAGTTAAACAGCARTTACAGGTTTGCAGATCCATCTTTTGCCTACTAATGTCCTACTGAATGGCTTGAAGATGAAAGGAACATTTCTTACACAACAATCTGATTGCTGTGAACACATGAAACCCAAAGGAAGCTGCCCACAGTGCTCTTCCTCAGCCCAGGACAGAGCACTGCTGCCATTCCATACTGGAATGGATGATGGGCTGACCCAGGGAGAGCCGTCAGACTTCTTTTTAGATTTGTATATGTTGGAGGAAGGCAGGTCGTAATTCCTAATCACACATCACACAAGAGAAATTGTTTTTGTCCAACAGATTGAAACCAATGGCATTTGCTTACGTTCTGACACTGTATAGAGCAGGTTCTGGGGCAGAGGAGGAGGCAGCCTTGCTCCCACCGGTGCCAGACTGGGCACTGCGCTGGTCCCCGGCTGGTCACGATTGTTTATCAAGCTGGACTGGGTTAAAGGTGGTCCTACAATGACACCACACAACACATCACAACTACAGCTCAGAGACAAAATATGCAAACAATTCAATGTGTTCAGTCCCACTACAGTAATAGTAAACTGAGAAGCCTGTTCAGGTAAGTTACTCTGATTCCAACACTTTTTCCCTTTTTCAGGATTGCAAAGCTTTAAGGAAATAGAAAACATTGTCTTTTCTTCCCCAGAGGTTTGTTAGTGCTAGAGAYGCCTTAACTACAGCAGTTCCTCCCTCAGCTCTGCCATGGAGAGCCGAGGCTTGCTCAAAGAAACAGATCACATCAGTACCATTTAAACTGCAGTTCCGAAACAAGAACTACAGGCCAAGAGGCATTCCCAGACAAGGAGTTTCTCTAGCTAGTTGTGCTTTGGTTGCCCCATGTATCATACAGACATTCCTACTGACTGTATGCCCAAMATGGACCCTGAGTGACATGACACAGCCCATCCTGAGCACTGTCAGTTCTCTCACAGCAAGTCAGYTCCACCTGCTAAAGGGCTCATGCAAAGTTTAGGGTTAATCCTGTATCAAATTATTCAYCATCCCARAATTGCTGCTATTGGACAATTGGACAACTATCATAGCATGTAYTTTGYCCCTGGAATAGACAGCACTGAAACWRAGTAAGCATGTCCCTAATATGCTATTTCYTCATAGAATTTATAAGACACAGTAAGGTAACACAAAAGGCTCAATACCTCAGATCCCTGCTAAGCTAAAACAGATCTCAGATATGTCAATAATTTATTGCTTTCTAGTGGCAGATAATGTAGCACCAGCACTGGAGCTTTACTAAAACCTTTACGAGATTGAATCTCAACATTTTTTGCATTATAGGGGGAAAACAAAAGCTAGTAAGTGTCAGTGACCAATCCAGTCATTACCAACTATCACTGAGATGAGCTGGAAGATCGCCAGCTCCACTTCCCTACCCACTTTAATTCAGTTTGGAGTGCTAGTAACAGCAGAGTGTACAAGCTGAATTTTTAGAATTCTTTCGGCCCTATTTTGAATAGCACACAGCAGACAGAGAAATGTAACTCAGGAGCAGGAGCAGGGCTGTACTCACGCGGGACGGGCAGCACCACGGGCGGCGGGGGCTGCGGGTGGGGCTGTGGCACCGGCAGTCTCAGCCCCCGCACCGGCCCCGGCAGCGGCGGCAGCAGCATCCCCGGCGGCGGGGGCAGCCCTGGCGGTGGCGGCGGGAACGGGATCATACTGGGCAAGGAAACCTCGTCCACTACCAGAGGGTCATTTCCGTGATCAAACTGGCACAGATCGCCAAGGACACAATAGCCTCGCTCTACAAAACARGACATTTCACATGGTGTTACAAAAAAACCCAGTGGATCTCAGCCATTTGTAACATTTCAGATTTTTCTGGAGTTTACTGAAGAAAACATGCATCCACTGACACGTTATTACATTGCAAGGTAAAGTTTCACAAAATAATTCAGATTAGAACAACCTCTCATAAAAGCATACAAACTCACATGCATTCATCATAAAAGCTGTGAAAAAACCAGTCAGAAGTAATGTGGTTTATTTTAAACACACATGCTGCAATTTGCAGCAGGACTGCCAGTGTTGAGGTATTTGCCTAGCACACAGAGAACTGTGAACACACTCCATATATTCTTATATGGAACTGGCACAGCGTATGCAAAATGCTTCCAGCAAGATCAGTTATTTCTCCAGGTCATCTCTGCATCTGTCATATACAAGGTAYACATCATGTGCTGCTGCAGTGTCACGTGCTGCACACATTTAGTGAATACCTGAAAAACAGAAGTCACAGAAGTAGTCACAGAAACATTGAAACTGCAAGCTTAGCAAGAGTTACCATCATAATCTTGACATCTTCTTTTAGGAGGAGGGTTTCTGCCAAATGAACTGGGATTGCTGTGATTGTTGAAGTAATTTGACCAGCTCTCCGTGGTGCTCTCAAGGTGGTGTGCAGGTGCAACTACAGTTACAGCACTGGGAATAGCTTGTGCAGAGGAATACTGTTCAGAGGATTTACTGGGAGATGCGGACACTGGATTGTATGAGCCTTCCACATCATTTTTTTCACTCTTGTATTTTGATCTCTCTCTCTCTCGGTGCTCTGTTTAAAAAAACCAAAGTTGAATAAAATCTTCATGTTTTTACATCAGAACCATGAGCAAGAATTAACACACAGTTCCTGAWATATTCAGCATTCTGTACATTAAGCTGTTCTTGAAGAACATCAGTCTTACCAATGCAGTAAGAACTAAATATAATGCAAACAGGGGTTTAACTTCAGAAATATTCAGAATTATCAAAGTTTTCTTTGCAAAATGCACATTCATTCCTYCACTACGTATTTCATTCTGGTTTACAGCTCTCTTTTAAAGTAGAAAGAAGGGCAAAAGCCTGAAACAACAAACCTACCTCTGCCCTTAACTAATGCGGTCTCAACGTGCGTGGAATGCTGTAATCTGTGCCACTTACTTTTCCGACAGACCTGAACTAGCCCTAAAAGAACAATCATATGGTAACCACCTGCAACTGCAAAGAAGCCTTCTCTAAAAAATACAGAGGAACAAAATGAAAAATAGGGAAACACAGCTTTGCAAAAAGCTCAATCCATGGGAGGAAAACCAGAAAAAAATTAACAGCTTTGTCAGAACACACAGGATAAAAGTATGAGCTACTGATATCCATGGGTATACACCCATGGATAAATTAAGAGGTTAGCAAAGAAGAAAACAAACCCCTTAATCGTTCTAYTCTGGAAAACAGCATCTTAATTAATAATTTCAAGAAAACAAAGCTATTAAAATTTTCTCCAGCTACTTAAGGGCATCTGCTACCTTCTAGACCATCCAGAATGTAGAAGTCCCAGCCATCACTGCAATAGGACGTTCTCCTGAAGCAGCACCCTGGGTACTCACCACTCCTGCTGCCATCCCGGTCTTTGCTCCGGCCTCGGCTGCGGCTGCGGCTCCGACTCAACCCTCGGCTYTTGCTGCGGCTTTTACTCCTGCCCCGGCGCCAGCTCGACTTCTCCCTGTACAAGTCACTCCTRTCATAGTACCTATCATAGTCCCTCCATTTCCCGTCATCCCGCTTCTTGTCTCTCGAYCTAGAAAAGACACAAGTAGACCGCATTTGTGAAAAGAGAAACAAAACTAAAAAATAAGCTTGCAACATGGTAAGATAACGTTCACYCTTCCCATCCATTTGGGCAGTGAAACAGTTCAGTCAGATCTTCACAAATTACATGGAGAAGTATGGAATCTTAAAGCTGGACCACTGGTTTGTAGAAAGCAGAAGTAGGAATTGGCAAGGTGAGACAGTTATGATGCTCAAACCAGACAGGCTTTAAATAGTGATGCTGACATGTGTGAACAACTGCCCCCAGACCCTATAGCCCCCTGACAGTGTTCTTCATTCATACAGAAAGGGAAAATATAGAGCTGATGACATTCCTAGGAATCATCATTTGAAGAATAYGATCATTTTTTTGTAAGACACCAACTTCTCATGGAGACTTTTGATGTACATGATCAGCATACACTATCTCACAGACAAAGGAAGRAGAAAATCTCTATTTTTAATAATAATCACTATCTACAAGGCAAAAAAAAAAATAGGTAAAGATTGACAGCAAATACAGAAGAATATCTTAATATTGTGGCTCAAAGCTAACCTTTGCTCACTGGAATCTGCACGGCTCCTCTGCGGACTGGAATACTTCTTCTTCCTGCTCTCCCGCTCTTCTTCAACTGATTCTTGAAAATTCTGTTTAACACTCAACTACCAAACAAGGACAAGAATCACTTTTTTAATGGAGAAAATTACACTAACATGTAGTTCAAGTTCAGACACCATCCCATATAAAACAATATTCAAGTATTACTTGCCCGGAGTACTGAAGCACTACAAGTAATGAAGCACTAGAGTATGTTAAAGGGTTTTGTTTTCATAACTTCCTTCTTCTTCTGCGGAGGAGATGCCCCCAGGTAAAATCACTTGGATGTTTTGCTTCTAAACAGGTTTTATGAAAGACAAGATCTCTCTCCACTCTACTGCCTTATTTAGTGTAAACAATTCTACAAGTGAGGTATTTCCTGAATCTTTAAACACAACTCTGGAGTAACCTCTCCAGATAGGGAAGTCATTAGCTGACATTTAAAATAACTGCTTTAAGGCAAAAAACCTGCTCACATGGTGTAACTGGACATATTTTTTGCTGGCCTCCACCACAGCAGGTTCAGAAGTCTGCCAGCTGTAYCACTACTGCAAACCACTGACCCATTTTGGACTTCGGCTGCCATTTCACACTGTTTACAAGTTACCGTAAAATCAGATGGAAAAAGTTTAGATGTAGTAGTCTTTGAAGGACTTTTTTTGCAATTAARGAGGAAGGCTTCCTGCATCCTTGTATAACAGGATTAGGTGGGGAGAACCGGCAGAAATACTCAGAAGAGTTGAGTTTACAGGGCTCTGGACAGCTCCACATGCAGTCCTGCTCCCAGCACAAGGTGTATCACATGTACCTGGGGCACCCTCCAGCCCTAACCTCACTGGGATTCTTCATGTGCTTTGTTTTGTGGCCTCCACATGTAGGAATCACACCACACACTAAGCTTTAAGACACATCATGAAGGCCTTGCTGATGTCAGAATAACTAATTAATGTGCTGCTTTTGTACTGCTGTCCCATAAAACTGTCCTAGATATCTTCTTTTGCTTATTGCCCCTCCCCTTCAGATCCCCAAACCTCCTCCTCTGCCCCCACCAGAGCATTGCTTAAGTCAACTGAAGGTAGTGCTAAAGGACTTTCCATAATCTATAACATACTTTGAGAATGGAGGGGAAAGCTCTTACAGTGGCAAATTACGAACTTCCATAAGCAAAGCTACTTCCATAAACAGTCATAACTCTGCAACACATCCTCAGATATAAAAACAGGACATCAGRAAAGAGAGAAAMAAAAGTAAAAAKCAACTTTAATTTAAATCAACTGATGAGTCACATTCTGATAAATGAGAACCTGCATTTGTTTGGGTTGACCAGGTTTGGCTGACTGATAATTTCTGCAATTATTTGTCACCTTCTCTTCAAAACTGGATTACTTTCAATTTTGCCAACTTAGAATAAGGTTAAACAGAGAACTGCTGGCAAATAAACTCTACTTGACTTTCCAAAGTAATTATTCCCATACAGAGGCTTACACATTTCACTGATTTTAAGCATCACAGAAAACATTTTCAGTGATTTTCATTCCTCACAGAATATACAAAACTRGAAATGTTTTGGAATATTATTGCTRCTTCTTCCTCTCAAACCCTTCCAAGTAATTGCCACAGCTGTGAATTTGAGTGCTTGAACAAAGCAAGGGATCCTCTTGCAMAGGGATTTAAAATGTTCTTGTCAAATCATCAACTTCCATTGTCACCTTCAATGGTTTTTTGGACACACAGRTATCATTAATCACAATAGAGTACATTTTTCTTTCACCTTTTGCCTCAGAGGAGAGCTAATTTGAAAATAAAAGGCAGGCAGAGTAAATAATGTTACCTCCTCCTTGACTTCTTCTTTCTCTTGCCCTCCAGRCTTCGCCTCTGCCTTTGTGGGCTCAGCAGAAGGAAGGTAACTCTTGGTGTACAAACTTTCAAAAAGTTTATCTACAAATCCTGAAGTTTCTGAGGATACAGAACACAAAAATACACTGCTACATATGCATTTAAGTGCACAGTTACATTTACCTGACAAGACCCTGAAAACAGTGGGCTAGGTGGGCTGCTTACAGCAGCACCTCAGACTAATGACAATTAGCTCCACTCGAGGAGGTGGAATGACATTGGTGGTACTTGAGACTGTTCATTTGGAGGAAGAAACTCATCACATACACCAAAGACAGTAATAGAGGCTTCTCCTGCTCTAAGGGGCAAGCATGACTAGAGCCTGTGACCAATGAACAAGTCTGCAGCTATCCACAAGTTCCATCAGCTACACTGAGCAGCCTCCTTAGGGCAACTTTTATGAGAGTACATAATTCTCAGCAGCCCCATCAGCAGTTCAACATCACAAGAAATGCCTGATAATTTTCCCAGCGAGTGTCAGAATTTCAGGTGTTTAAATCCTTGACTATGAAGGAAATTGCTACATGCAAAGTCCCCCAGGAAGCTGAAGAATTAACGTGGACCATGTTTTCAAAATTACCAAATACCTGTCAGAGAAGCTTCTCACAACACGATTGACACTTTAAATTAAATTGACTTTTTTCAGAGCATTTCTTCCCACCACTGTGAAAAGTCCAAGTCACACAACTCCATCTTACGATTATTATTTTTTTAATTGCAAGATCCTTATTCCTCCAAACTCTGTATGAAATATTCTTGGATACCAAGAAACATTTTGAAGGCAGGAACAGCGCATCACCCTCCCTCCTCCCGCGAAGAGCTGAAGCCCCCAGACAGCCGYGGCCGTGCAGAGCACACACCTTTCTGCAGAAAGACATCCAGCTGGTCAGCACAGAAAGCTTTCAGCTCCTTCTCGGGCTTGTCTTTCTTCACTAACGCCACCACATAGTTGGCCAAGGCTGAGGGGTCTGCGTCACATCTAACGAGAGAGAGAAATGGTGCTTGGCTGCTGCAGGACACC